TCTTGTAATAGAAATACAAATGTAAATTAAATAAAGTACGTTAGGCAAGGCCTAGCTAGTTAATAAAAAAAAAAAAATTATATAAAATAGATATACTATATAATTAAAGATAAATTTTTAAATTAAAGGTAAGGATATATTTAAATATCCTTCACTATTAAAAAAGTTTTTTTTTAAATATAAGATTAAAAAAAAACTATTTATAAAGGTTTTTTGCAATTTAGGCTACTTAATCCAAATGTTTTTTAAATTATATTTCTATTAAAATAATGAATAAATAATTATGTTCCTTTAAAAGAGACATAATTGATCTACAAAATTTTATATACTAAATAATTTAAGGACCTATCTTTATATATAACTATTCATATATAGATAGACTTATTATAAATATATATATATATCACTTATTAATATATGTATAATCACAGAAACTACAAATAAGTGACTTATAGTAGTGCAAAATAATAAATTACATGATACTTTGAAAATAAGCAACTATAAGTATATAATTAATAAAAGATATAAGAAATAGAAAAATAAAAAGAAATATCAAATATGCAATGTAAGCTTTTAAAAAACTGATTAAATTAGGAAAACAATATTATTAATTTTAATTTTTTATATTCATACAATAACAATACTAATGGAACCTTGATATATTAGTCTTGACAAGTATCAGTAGAATTAATTAATAGTAACAAGCTAATATGGAAGAAATTCGATATAGTCTAATATGTATCTAGAATAGTTTATAGATAGTAACTCTTGTAAAAGAAGTAATATATATATGTAAACTAAATAAAACATGTTAGGCAAGGTCTAGCTAGTTGATAAAAAAAAATATATATAAAAACAAAATAAAATATATTTATCAGAATATGAATTTTAAAATATTTATTAAAAATAACTTTATATTAATTCATAAGCTATTAAACAAATAGAAAAAAAAAGTTTTTTTCAATTAAAAAAATTATTGATATAAGTAATTAATTGGTCTTTGAATTAAAAATATCATATAATAATCTGTGGATCTATAGCATAGTGGTTAGTGCTCCACAGATCAGATCACAAGATACTGGTTCAATCCCAGGTGAAGGTGATTGAATAGGATTAATATGATATCTGGCACCATAACCAATCATATGCTGTTTCTCATAAGAAGCCATTCATATACTGATCCGGTAAGACGTTAAGATTGTAATTTCCCGTTAAGGTGTCGCAGTATAATAATCGTTCGGTTGATGCATGATGATTATCGAGAAGTCTCTTCATATGTAGGTTGTGTAGGCCCCCTATATATGTTGTACCCAATAGACCAAATCCGACCATTTCAGGATTTCCTAGTTTGAAGCTATCCCAATCTGGCGCTTGCTTAAAAAAAATCAGTTCCATGAAAAGGATCTATCAAAGCCACAGGTGGTGACAAGAAGCAAGTATCCTCTCTGAAGGTCCAAATAAAAAATATCATGATGTCCGGAAATCTGATGACCAAATCACTGTGGGATAGACACTAGCTCTCAGAAAATGGATTATAGGTTAGGTGGTTTAAACCATACATGTGGTCGTATTACCATAAAAGGAAATTTGATCGACAATACGATTCCGAATTAAATACGAATTCCAATTATTTACTATATGTTACTTAGTAATTCTACCATAATACGGTTTTTGAAAAATGTCCGAATTCAATTTCACTACATGTATAGTTTAAACTAGTGGTAGGCATTCCCCCCCATAGAAACTCCACCCGATATGTTGAATCCATATTTGGTATATAATTCTCATAGTTGGGTTAAAAGATAGATGGTAAGCTAATATATCAAAGTATTAGACAGTATTGGTTTACAATTGTAGACTACATAATTGGTACAAACTGTACAATTTCCAATTGTAAAAGGACACTTGATGTAATTTGTAGATTACTCATGTATCAATAAAGATTTGTATCATTGCATATTCATCTATAAAAAAAAAAATATATATTATATAATAAATGAATATTTAATTAAAAATAAAATCTAAAATTATTTAATATATAAATCAATTATATTTTTTTTAAAGAAATATAATTTAAAAAACATGTGAATTAAATGATTTAAATTGTAAAAAACCTTTATAAATAGTTTTTTTTAATATAATAAAAGAATATTTAAATTAGATTATTCTTTAATAAAGAACTTATCTTTTAAAATCACAAGATATTAACTTATAATATAAAAAATTTTGATAATTAATATAAAAATATAGCTTATTTGCATTTATTCACTGTGTTATTGAAAAAAAAAAAGTTTTTTTCTTCGTCAACCTGTCTATACTGAAATGGCCGGCATAGGCTAATATGTACAGTAGCTTGAGAAAAAAAACATCTTCCACTAGGCGCAAATAATAGAATTAATAATTAAACAGCCATCAGCATCGATACTTCTTCACGGCCACCAGAGTTACCGAGATGGTTCACATGAAGGCGAAGGCGGTGGTAATGAACTAGATATGATACAAAGTAGCTTTGAGACTAAGGAGCCCGGTTCACGTGAGATGTGATCATTCTCTCACTATTTGGACATAAATCCAGCAGAGTTTTTTTTACTATTTTGGGATGCAAAAATATGCTCCCCGTGCGTCACTCGTGCAGCATCCTTACTGCACTCGTATAGTGACTGTACAGCACCTGTGCAGGCATGCATTCGAGTGAAATTTCCGAATTATATATAATTAACGTGATAGACAATAATGATCAACACGTAACAAATTTCACGAAATCGCGAGAAATTTTTAATTAAACTTCGCAGAATCAATATTGCTCTAATATAATTTAAATTAATTTTTTGTGTAATAAAAGTATAAATAAATAGTTAATTATATTTAATGTTTTTATAAGTTTTTGTGATAAATTGAATAAGTTTTAT